TTGTGAAATCAACAGTGCTCATAATTAAATACATATTATATAGTAATGGCTATGCTATTTATCAATAGATAAATAGATTTAAAAAACAAAAATTAAAATTAAATGGCTTATATTAATTATCATGTTTTCTAATGGATCGTTTATTCACTAAATATTCAATCATAACATGAATAAACATTGTGCTTATTATAGTATTAATATTGTGTAGAAGATTATGTTTTATAGGTGTCTATGACATGGACAGCAAATATAAATTGTTATACACATGACTATTAACACATACTAACAAACATATTATGCTAAGAGATGGTTTTGAACAAAACAAAATGGCTTTGAATAAAAAACGCAGATTTTTAATTTTTTTTTTTAAACCTTATTTACAGCATTTTCTACTCGACCGTTTAGGTACGTCACCCACCATCCGGAAGACCGTAGCTGTAAATTGTTATAAAACTACGATAAGCCTATAACTTTATGGGAGAATCATAGGAGACTCACATATTCACATAATTCATGWAAAGATATTCAAAATTATACTCATTTCCCTTGACGTACATCAAAATTCAAGCTATATACAGAATTATAGTTGTACTMATTTTATAATTTTGCATGATATTTTTTCAAGCATTCCCGTAGCTATGGAGGCAAAAGAAGTCGTTGCCCACTCTAAAAATATTAAAAATYAATATTGTTTTTATACATAATGCCCCCTTAAAATTTAGTTTTCCCCACCTGAAAATTTGTATGGATACAGGCCTTATTTCAAGGAATGATATTAAATATAATTGTGTAGTGTTTTTTTAGACGCTTACACTTATTGGTGGTTAATCATTATTGAAGTGGTGTCGTAGACATATCTGTATTTGTACGTATAATACGTAAAATAAATTTTAAATATTTTTTATCTGACTTCCCCCCCCCTTCTTGAAAAAATTCTCTTCAAAGTAAAAAATGTTATTAAATAAAATGGTACTATAATACTGTAATGGTGATAAAAATGAAACGATTGAAATGGGCAGGCCACGTGTGGAGGAAAATTGATACTATGATAAAAATGGTTCTACAAAACAATCCTAGAGGGAAAAGACCCCTAGAAAGACTCCGAATGCGATGAGAGGGAATGTGTGAGAAATTCTGTAGGTAGCAGACTTCTACCCGTATGGAGATTGGCATATATTTACGTAAAATCGTGAAGGATGGAGACAGTTATGTTTGGATGTATGGTCTAAAAGGCCATTAACAAAACATAAAAATATATTGTAAAAATTATATGTTGATATCGTGATAATCATAATATGCAATGTGCTGTTTCAGAATAGCTGCGGTGTGACATTTATATCGGTTGTTATGTACAATGTGAATTGTGATTACCGAGGCTTCGAACAATAAAAATTGTTATTATTTGAGGAAAACACAGATATCGTAACTAACCAAACTATTTTTAAATTTAAGTATTTAACATTTTTGAACAAAATGATTCAAAACTAAATATTCACTGTATGGCTGTATTAATGTTATTGTTGGCTAATACGATTCTTAAAATGAAAATAATCAAACATTTGAAACACTATTTACTAATAAACATCATAAAAGAAACGTTATAAAATTGTAATACTCCAAAATACAAATAAAAATTTCAAATTAGTTTTAAAATGGGATATCAAAAAAAAATATCATTCGAACGCACGGTTCCACTGAAACGGCGTGATAATTTGGTAAGTTCCGACTACACTGACATCAAATCATTTATACCGTCGTACGACACACGATGTGAAAAGCCAAATGTGTTCTACTTAATGTCCATGGAGTATCAACGAATTTGGGAACAGGAGAAAAACGAATACTTCAAATCTACTATTATCATTGGCACGGTGGCCTTGAAACCCTGGTTAAGGGGCCATGCTAGAAAACACCAGCATAATATTCCACGATTAACAGTACCGTATTGTGTACCGGAAAAAAAGAAAACGAAGTACGACAATATTAAATCTAAGTACCGTATAATAAATCACCATCGACTTGGTCCATATGTCGACCGTAAACGACAGACTACAGTACCAAAATGCCCTTGATTGACCACATAGTTAATGTATATTGCATTCTTGCGAACCGTTAAAATGTGCAAATGGATGAACTTACATGATTAATAATTGTTAAAAATATCAATAAATGTATACGGATCGATAAGTCTCAGTATAATATTATAGTCATTAGTTCATTTTAAATTAATGTAAACATTTAAAACTTATATACGATCACAATTTGTAAGTTTCAAAAAAATTTAAGAATAGTATTATGTTGTGTATTGGAATTCTGCTTAATATTTAGTAAATAATATCTGAAACAAGACTTGTAGATGGTTTATGAGTATTGGTTTAATTAATGTGATTAGATTAATTATTTTTTACATATTATAAAAAAATCAGATATATACGTATATAGTTAAAATAAAAAGCACAATCTGTTGTTATCATAAATATTATTTATATAGTGATTTAATTGTGCCATTATATCGATAAATACCTAACTCAATAAATAAAAAGTAAACAACAAAACAAATAAGTTTAAACAAAAAATTATAATTATGTATATTTTTATCTATATAATATTTTGTTTAAATTATCTGATCTTATTTAATTAATTGTCATCTATTCCCAACACTGAATTATCATCAAGATCACTATTTTATTTATTGTATTTTTATTTGATTTGTATTAATTGTATGATTGGTATTATTGAATTGACTCTCACATACATTTTTTACTAGACTCTGCCAAAAATGTCATTGTTTATGGTATAAGAGTCTATGAAGTCTAACTTGGTTTCAATTAATTATGATATTTAAGTAGTAAAAAGTAAAAGTAGTTGCTTAGTATATCAAGGATATTTTAATAAGTTATTAATTGTTATAATTAATAAACCTTGACAAGAATATGTTATTACAAAACGATTGCTACATAGAGTTGATGATTGTCGAATCAGCGTATATTATTTGTAATATTTGCAAGAGTAGGAGTTAGTCTAGTAAAAGATACTTTTGAAATTGTATTAAAATACAGAATTACATAATAATACATTTAATAATATTACATAATAATACATCCATTCAGAAAGTATTTAAAATACATTTCAAATACTTGTTTTATTTTACTCTTCTGTTACATTCAATTAGATATTATTAGAAATATTTGTACCATTTTTTTAAATGTACGCTGAAAAATTAAAATAAATAAAACTTGCAAATCATTAATATTAGGTTGTCAGATAGGTACCCAGTTAAATAGTAAACACTTGTTAATGGGATATTACAATTTTGTAATAATCAGTAATAACATTCATAAACGAACCAGACATAGGTTAGGAACAGGGGTTCTCAACATTTATGAACGAAAAAAATATAAATAAAATACTATAACAATTTTCCAAAAAAAAAAAATTGTGACAGCTGACGAATAATAAAATTCATGTTCGAATTTTCAAAAGTATTTGTATAAAAGCATTCAATTTTCAAATACAAATATGCTTAAGAAAGTATTTAAAATACTTTCGAATACTTAAACTAAAAAGTATTCTAAATACTATCAAAGTATTTGAATATATATTTACTCAAATACTTTACAACACTGGTAGGATTGTATGACTCGATTAGACGCATAATGTTACAGTGTGTTGATATAAGAGAAATATKAAATAATTGCTGATAAGCAGTAAATCCATTATTATGTATGATTAAAATGACCTATTTATATAATTATATGAAAAAATTATCTAAGAAAAAATCTTGGTTGAAGGTATCTTAAATTAGAATGTGTMTAAATATAAGATAAAAAATATTATGATGTAATTAAAGCATAGAATAAAAATTTTTTTWAATTTTTCTTGTATTTTTTTGCAAAATATCCTRCCTTMATTTGCMCAAGTGATACGATAGTCCTGTTCTTTACCTTTCATTACCAAAACATTTTTTTATTGTAAGACTTTCGTTTATAATATAGTTTCGATTACTTTTGTATTCAAGTATTCAACCTTAACTAGCTTCTTATAAAATCGTTACGTTTTCTCCTCGAAACCAATTTGAAAATTATCAAARGGTTGTCCAAATTTTCGTTCAAAGATTTAAGATAATCATTTTCACCATCAAACATATAAATAACTATATCTAAGGTATTAGCAATGTTACGGACTTCATTTTAAACATTTTTCTCCTTTTCTTTTTGGATGCCATTTATTTCTAAATAAATAGATTTCTCATTTTCCTCCAAAGTGTATCATAAGATAACTCCAGGCTTTGAATTATATTTTTTTTCTGTCAATGATTTTTCCAATTCAATAACACGTTTATATAATGCCTTTAGTGAGTTATTTGTCATAACCTAGTTTCTTARCACCTGATCCAATCTATCGATAATTGATTTTATATCTATTTCTTTTGTCTTGTGAGTGTCTTAGATTGGGAGATCCTCATGTCGTCCAATTTTCACTTGGTTGGTACAGTATAACATATAAGACATAGAACGCTGTCTTCTTTCAGTGGGATTGATATTTCACATTTTGGATACACCGTCATATTACAACACATTAGTATAAACAATAATAGCCAATTATTAATGATCACGCATCCGTCTTTAACCAACGAATGCACAACTGAACTGAACATTACAAACAATTTTGGGTCTAAATCCCCGTTTTTCTTTCTTTTTTTTTTCCTGCCGCTTTGGAAAAATCTTAGAAATTTTATATTTTGATCTGCTTAAAGTAACTACATTAACTTTTCAACTAAAAAAGATGCTGAAGTTGAAAATCGAAGTATTTTTAAACTCTTTATCGTGTAACTTAAACAAATAAACATAGTAAAATAAATAAAAACATCAGGCAAAGGCCAAAATGAGGTTTTTGTTAGGGTGTACAACTAAWAGCTACTATAAAATTGTAYTAACTATGCATAGTATAGCATGATTTTCTTTTATAAAAGTTATGTTTCTTTAATTTACTTACTAATTTTAAATAAAAGTTAACATATTACATAATAATATTGTTAAAATTATATGCAATGTATGATGTGGCTTAAGCAAATTTCCAGAACTTCGTTTCTTCTTTTTTTTCTTCTTTTTTTTCTCCTTTTTTTCGTTCGGTTTTACTATTTTATCCAACCAATTTAAATAATAGAATATGAACGTGTAAATCTCCTGCTGGTTAGGAAGACCACATCCACCTACACCTTTTTCGTAGGGAAATCCAAAACTGCATACCCCATATTGTATGCCGCCGCACATCATCGGACCTCCACTGTCTCCTCTACATGTTGTTGACTGACCGTTTGGTACCAGGCATAAATACTGTTTCCATGATTTTTTTATTTCATCGCTATTTTAAGTAGATAAAAAACTATATTATAAACATTAAATTAAATTTTTATGTGTATTACGTTTCGTATAATTTACAAGCTTTTTCACCATGTACAACATCATTAGTCATCATGTATCCTGATTTACCTTTCGTTTTATTATCTCCAGTACGACCAAATCCAAACATTGCACAACTCAATTTTTTGCCATCATCAAAATCTTTAGGCGAGCCACCATATTTCATAAATGTCGTGATATTTGAGAATGGTTCTTCTAGCTATAATTAAGAATTATAATATACAATAAAACAGAAATCTAAGAATAAGTATGAATTACTTGAAATAAGTATAAATTATTATAATATAATAATAAACTATAACATATATTTATGTAAAATCATAAATATAAAATTTATGATATACATATTATTGCAAATTAGGAATTCGAGTATAAGTGTAATTAGAATGTTTTTGTTGTTTGTAGGCTAACTATGCACTTTAATAAATTTTGTGTACATTTAAATAAACTAATTTTATTGAGCTTTTGTGTAAAACCTAATTTWAAAAAAAAACTGGAGTATTGGACGGTTGGGGGGTCACACTTTAATATAACTCACATGAAAAAGTAGCAAAATATGTGTTATGTAGATTTGAAATGCCTATGACAGATTAATAGGAATACAATACTTGTAACACACAGATGTCTCCTTGTGGAGCAAATACATTTACTTTTGGATTATAGTCTTCGTGTTGGTGTATTTTGGCCACCTTATGAATAGGGCTAATAATTAATGGTGATCCTTGACTAACCTATAAAGACATGGAAAATTTAGTTGCAATTAAGAATTCAAATATGTGTAAGATAAAATTAAAATACAAAATAAWTATATTTACTTCTACGTCAATTTCCTCATGACCATGACAACAGTGAGCTGCTGTTAATACAAATAATTTTTGTATTAATGAGCCCGTGCAACCACTAAACGACTTAGGTCCATTCTTAAATTTAAGAAACATTATATACGGATATTTATCGCTATTGAATATTTCACCATTGTATATAAGTCCATTGTTAAAGTGAAAAGTTGAAAGATGTTCAAATAAAGCCATTATAATCAATAATAATAAAATTATTGAAATTCCCATCGTTTCTTAAACTACTGTTATTTACATGCATATTATTTGTATTTCTGTATTATTCAAGGTTGTATTAAAATTATTCACCGTAAACAACTGTATTATCATGACAACTTCACAGTTCTATTGAAWATGTATAGTATTGAATGTTAGTCACTCAATGGAAACTTACACCTTAGAAAATTCAACTACTAATCGAGTGTTGATACTCTTAAATAGTATTTGATCCCACTGTACAAACAGCTGTATTATTGTCAAACAACGGTCTCCGGGTCGTGGATGTCTCCCTAACCAATGCCGACCATGTTAAAAGTCTAAATCAACGGTTAAAAAAATTGTTTTGAACGTTTCTTGCTGCAAGCCTTACCATCTGAATGATGTCTACCTGTTACATTTATTTATCTCCGTAAGAAACCGAGAACCAAGCAATGAAATTTACCTATTTTTAACATTATTAAATTGTGATCGTTGCTATTGAAGTCTCCCATATCAACTACCGGGTGATTGAGAATCGGTGGTCACTGAGTAGACTAACTTACAGAGTTCGGTTTTTATTTATTTTGTATTCTTATTCTTTTGAACCTTAACTGTAATTATTGATACATTATTTACCTCCAGTACGAGAATTAATTTTCAGTTTTTGATAGTATTAAAAATGTATATGTTGTAAGTAGCAAGCCCGTAACTCGAATCATCAGCTGTCGCTGCAAGTTCATATCCCAATATCAGCCCACGTGTTTACGGTTAATTTTCCCTCGCTACGTAAAGGGGTCACATTACTTATTTTTCATTTTTTTTTTTTATATTTAGGATAAATGAACGAATCACAAAACTAAATCATATATATTTTTATTATTTTTAAGTGTATGCGTGAATCACCAAATTTTATTTATTTTACTATATTTGTAGTAGTTTTGTGAGTGTATTTTGTCCATTATAAGATATAGGATCAGTTGACCAGACTGAGCTTCAATAACTTACTACTTTATCGTTAAACTTGTAACGGTACAAACCACCACGATARATAACGGTCCGTTTCAGGATCRAGAAAAGGTTTATGATATTTGATCAATTCTCTAATTTAATAAACAATGTCAATATCAATTGTTATAAATAATGGCCTGTTACGTAGACTTGGCAACATGACTGAAGCATTCTGGGTTTCCACAATCATTACAATTCGATCCTCCCTGACCACCCAGCGTGTCCGACGGTTATGCTTATAATGCTCGGGTTTCATTTTTTTTTTAACTTATTAAATCCATCAGGTTTTCCCCCACATAAACTTGATTTAAAAATTGATTCGCCTATTATTCTCATGCGAAATTTAAATGCTCCCAAATTGTGCAATGGAACGAGATTAAAAATATTATTTTTGAAAAAAACCTTATTGAAGCTAAAATTCTTACCAACTCGGTGAATAGTCAAATTGTATATATTTCAAGGATACCAATAAACTAATGATAACAAACGAGTATCCCTTCCAATTTAAGCGTATCCAATTTCATATTATACTTTGTTTTGCTATGTCAGTTAATATGGCACAAGGACAGACAATGAAAGTTGCAGGAATCAGCGATCCCTGCTTCATTCATGGACAATTTTATGTTGCCTGCTCCCGTGTAAGCTTAGAAAAAAACTTATACATAATATATGCCCTTGGTGAAAAAACTGATAATATTGTTCATAAAGAAATATTGGTTAATCGGTAGTCATAATGTTGCATATGCGTTTTTCCAAAATAATAACAATTACTTTTCAAAAAACATAGTTTTTTTTATGTTTAGTATAAAACGCGAGGTATGAGTTTTATTAATTGTCAGTCGTATTTTTATTTTAATGCGCATGCGTTACCTACATTTTTATATGCATCAGACAGAGATGGTTGTCATCTGAACATGTGTATTAGCATTATAACAATGAACAATTTGACGAAAGAAAGTGACTATCACTTACAGTATAATTCACTATTTTTCCACGGACAACGCCGGGTAATTAAGGTATCTATTTATATGTATAGAAATATACTGCTAGCATAATCAAGGATTTTGTTTTAATTGAGCATATTAATCGTCCATTAGCGGAATTATGTAAAAATGACAAACTTGGTATTACTTTAGAGTTAAATCATACACTTACGTATAAACAGCACGAGGTTCGCGATCTACCGCAGGTAGATTGCCTACTTGATAATATACTTCTGTGAATCAGAATTTTTATTCCAGGTAACGGAAAAGTTAAGATAAGTTTTGAACACCATAATATACCGACTATTAAATAACGAATTGAATCCCTAAGTGCACGGGATCAGCTAGTATAATATATAGGTATATCTGGAGCGGCTTTTTATACCCTGCACGGCTATGCGGCATAATTTCCGCTGTGTCTGGACTCTGGATGGTTGATTTTATATTTTACTTAAAATAATCTTGGACTTGATTCGTATAGTATTAGTTTCCTAACCCAGTACTCGATTTGTATATTACTTATTTCCCGTTCAAGCATATGGACTYAATCAATTATTATATAGCAGTAATATACAAGATTTAATGATGGTAATATTATGTTACTTAAACATTTTCAATTTATTTATTTATATATATATATAATTTATGCTTAAAAACCGATTTTCCCAYCCTATGCATTTTTTATAGAAACACGAATAAGAATAGTTTGGTTGTTACAACAATGAAAAATGCTTTAGTACCTAACCAAATTTACAATAAATTATCATGTCTAAAAATTATGGTCTTTATAAATAGTTGTATCATTAAATTTATTCCATGAAGAGTTTTTCAAGCTCATTAATTTACATAAAGTTACTAAATAAAATAAGATTGTTTTTCATTCTTTCTAGGAAAATAATTTTTTTAATTAATTGCAACATACACAGCAAGAATGCATTTTATATTGCTCGTGATGGATAGTACGAGAGATGTATTCACCTAATATTCATAGTTTTATACATACCCCCCTCATACACATACACACACACACACTTACCTACCTTTTAAAATTATATATTTAATATAATGTGTAGGGCAACCAAGGGTCAACTTGCAGCTTACGCCATAGTCGTATGCAGCTCACGTCTTATTAAAAATAAAACCAATATTTACTTATCAACAATAAAATACTATAAAATATTATAAAAAATATAGAATGTATTTATAAATATGTTGGCTCTTGATATCAATTGTATTTATCCATATGGCCAGTGGACGTTATTCATGTTGGCCACCTCTGTAGGTGTATATCATGTAGAATTTCGTACAAAACTTTTGCACCCTCTCACTCGTTATGAGTCACTTTGACACTGGCCACCAGTAAAAAAAGCATAATTCTTGTAAACACATTAAGTTTGGAAATTGTAATATGTATACATAGGCACTATAATTTTAAACATCGGTGAAACTCTAAAATACACTACACGCCAATAAACCATGATCTGATGACCACATAATACATATATTATGCAGTAAATCATTGAATGGTAAGCTGTGGTCACCAAAATGTTGATTTAGGKAACTAGGATTGTTTTGGATGGAAATTAGTCGAGGTCGTAATGCTAATATTGAAATTCGAACTGTTTAGTAATTTTTTAGATAAAAATACATTATATTTTTAAAATAATAATCACCTAATATTGTACGTAATGCGCTACTGAGGCATTAAGTCAAAATGATACGAACACGGTTTAGGTATTGTCATCGACGTTCAACGGACAAACATAAATTATGCTCGACGGAAGAACATTTTAAGTTACGCCTTACGCCCAATATATTTAAAATACCTATATACATTTTTTAATTTTATGTAGTGAATTGCACCCAATACATTTCAGGAATATATCGTTATGACATATATGTATACATTGCGTCAAACATAGGTACGCTATTTTTTGAGTTATTTATTTTTTTTTTTTTTTCATTTTATTAATGTGGGTGAAAACATATATATTCTACTAGGTAAATCATATAATATAAATAGTAAACAATAATAATAATATAATTATAGTTTTATTCATATAGGTATCACAATAATGATAATGCGACATAATTTTCAAATTTTGAGTCCTTTTAGTAACAATAATTTTTATACTGCCCAGCAATTTTCCATATTTTAATTTGTATTATTTGTCTCTGTTCAGACTTAAAATAACCCCCTAAGCAAAAAACAAAAGGTGTTCTGTGCTTTGATTTTATTATTATTATTATTATTATTATGATTTTATTAATAATACTATTTTTTTAGTTGGGTTTGAAGCTACCTAGTAAATGCAATGCAGAGCGCTTACTTTTTGTTCTTTATTCGAATCTTGAACATTGAACATTGGACATTGAAGGAAGAAATGAAAATTAATGAATAATAATATTTTCTTCATTATTCAAAGATTTTTCTTGCACAAGATTAGTACCGTAAGTACTTAAGAATACTACCTATAAATAACAACTTTGAAAATTGAAGAGACTCACGGCCTGTAATGTTGTCTATTTCYAGCCCAAACACTATCAATAAATTTGTGATATGTGCCTATGGTTGTGACCAACAAGAAAAGAACCCGAAGTTCATCGTGCAATGTTTACAAAAGTTGACAGAAATATAAATCAATATTATATTAAAATTATTTTTCACTTTCTTGAACGGAATTTCTAATATCCGTGTACCGTATCCATTAAATAAGTTCATTACTAAGCRTGTTTGAATGTTCAGTTGATTTTTGACACCAATAGAGAAGAGATCGCATAAACAGGTCATTATCGAAATCGTGTCCTGCACCATTATAATTAAAATATTCCACACCCATTTTACAGTTGACGCTCAAAATATACTTCAAGTAATTAACACAGGCCCCTACTTATTTTTCAAGTGCTGAAATTGCCCGAGAAAGACTATCAAGGAGACGTGCTAAACATACTTATGACACATAATTATTATACGAACAACAAACTATTTATTGTTCCACTACACACAAACGGCATGGCTTGATACATTACATTGACGTTTAC